TTCTTGTGGTAAACTGGGATTTATTTGTCCCGACCGAACAGGCGTCTTTGCGCCGAACAGGTGTTATTTTAGTGTTTCCCATACAGCGCTGATGTATGGGTTGAACTTTGAGCTCCGAGTGCTGCCGGGAAATGTGGTAGGAGCCTAACAGGAGGCGAAGAAGAGTGTGTGTGTTCATTGGGATTTAACGTGTGAGACTTATTGCGGTGGTTCCTTTTGAAGGGTTTTGCTCTCAGAACAGTTTTCAAACCCTGACCCATCTTTCCCATGTGACCTGGTAATCCCTCACCATTATATGATCCACACCGACTCATCTTTGCCATGGATTTAACATCTTAAATCAGGTTACACCTCAGATTCGCAGTCACAAACATCAAGCATGGACAGATATTGAGAGACTGGGTCCTTGGCTGTAGACCCTTAAAGGCCCCATATATATAGGAGCAAGATCTACAGATTGAATGGCCTTCAATGGCCCATATTATGTTGTTTTGTGTCTGTGTCATTTTGCCGCTATATTTAGGTCTTTAGATTTATTTATTTATTTATTTAACAAACACAGACACTATATTGTATCAGGTATAGTTAATTTTCATCTGTGTTTCCTGGGTGATGACCATCAAAAAATGCAGATGTTGAGGCCGTGGTGCGTCTTTTTGTCACTGTTTTTGGTCACTTTTCAGTTCTGTTTATTTTGTTTCTGATTTTAGTCAAACTGCATCCCTTTCTTAGTGGTTATTTTTATTTACTTGTTTTTGTCTATGAGATTGTTTTGCATTTGTTTTTACTCAATTTGCATTTGTCTTTGATTGACTTTCCAACAAATGTTAAGTCACTTCACACAGAGGCTCTGATCCTACTACCACAAGTTGTGGTGGAGCGCTGAGGCATTTTAGGACCAGAGCACTGGGGACATAGACCTGGTGGTCCCTATTGTGGTGTTGGAGAGCTGTGCTGTAATAGAAGGCCCTTCATATATTTCCTGACTCTGGGGCTTTTAGAGCTTTCTTTAGAGATGAAGCACTGAATTGATCTGTCAAGAGGAAGAATATGAGCAGGGCGATAGCGGTTTAATGAAATTCTTAAGCTTCCCGTGTGGAATTTTTGGCATGTCCTTGAGTATAATAAGGACAGAGTACAAACAGTGCTTTCAACCAAGTGGCCAAACGAGGCATGTTTCATAGAAATGTTATAAATTCATGATTGTTGGAGTTCATACAAATATACCTTCAGTAAGATGTTAAAAATGGTAACACTGATTAACCAATTTGCTTTAACTTACTGCTCTTCATGTTAAGGTTTTATTTTAATGTGTGGGTCACATGACTGGAGTTTAGTGAGGGGTGTAATTGTGGCATTATGGAAAAAAAAAAATTCATTTAAACATGTTGCTCATTAATTGATTCATCAATTCAGTTAGAGCATTGTTTACCTTAAGTGACGATTCCTAGCATAGTTGCACTATGTTGATTTTTTTTTTTTTTAGCGTGTAGGCAGCTCATGTGCCTCTTGTTTATTTCCCTGACATTTCTCTGAGCTCAGACTTGCTCGTGCTGTACCAGGCAGCACGCAGAACATTCCTCAGCTTTTCACTGGTTTCCCACTAACGCACCAGTGGCCTGGCATCGGCTGGTACACGAGGCTTAGCGGCGTTCTGGGTCCACATCATCAGGGTGTTGGTTCAGCTTTTGTGGACAGATGGCAGAGGTCTCTCAATTAACACCTTAGTGAGATGACCCTTGTGTCCACATGATCAAAGCATGGCCGCTGCTGCTCAGATGTCTTCCCCACCACCCCACCCCGCTGTCTCTGTGAGATTATGACGCCCCATCCCTCCTGTGTTTGTTTAGAGGAAATGACTTCCGCTCCACTGCGCTGTCTGAGCGGGTTGCACATCAGATGTAACCTTGCTCTTCTTGCAGCTGTACAGTGTGTGTTGAATCCCTGCTATCGTGTTTTCTCTGTAATTTTATGTAGAGAGGTTGCTTACTTGTAATTTGAGTTTTGGTCAAACATCTGGTGCATACTTCTTTTGGTGCTAAAAACCAAAAGACCTTGTTCTAATGTGGAGGCTTCACTGCTGTACAAGCATGAAGAAACCACTTGTTGGTCTCAGTGAAAAGAACATATTTCATTGAAGTTAAGTCTGTTTAGTGATTTATTCAATTCAGTTTTGTTTGTATAGCACCAAATTACAACAAAAATCACCTCAGGGCGCTTTACAAAATAAGGTCTAGACCTTACTATTATTATCATAGAGGAAAAACCCAACAAATCCCCCTTGAGCAGCACTTGGCGACAGTGATTAGATTACAGATATCACATAGGTAGCGCCAGGGCATGAATCTGGAATATCTACAATAACCAGGGCAGCACAGCAGATTTTAAATGCAACTGTTTAATGTAATAAAAACAAAAAAGGGAAAGTCAAGCTTGAGGGATTTCCAGTGACCTGGGCAGCTGTGGGACCAGTACGACATAGTCTAGGAACCATTACTGGAGTGATCAGAGCTCTGGCAGAACTGCTCCAATCTCTTTAAATTGGTACTTGCTGGCTTTAGAGGATTAACAGAATCAGAATGGCCTGATATGGATGTTGGACATTTGTGTTGGCTGGATTTGGATTTTTAAATTTTACCCATTGATCACAAATGTTTGTCACATTCTTGTGCAAAACCATTAATGTGACTGCATCCAGTTCAGACCAACCATGGCTATGACAGCTCCCAGAAGCGCCAAGCCATCTCGATCAGCCCTTGGTGGCTGATTGCAGCATCAGTCCTAGATCCCACCCACTTCATGTCAGTGAATGGGACGTGAGCCGAAATAACTGAAGGTACAAATCGAATAAGATTTTCCCAGAGGTGATTTCTGTGGTTTTTGGTAGATTTTATCACTGATGTGTGTACAATGTGGTCATTTTTTTGCAAAGTTTTTAAGAAGTTACTTGCTGATATTAAAGGGGCTTTCAGATGACTTGACAGCTCTGATTGGTCATCTGATATGTCACTCAACTACTTGGTTGCTACTGTGCAGAATCTGGCTGCAAAAGCCAGGATGAGAGATGAGCAAAACATTCAGGACTTCTGTATACCAAACATTCATGGCTGCCTATGTGAGCGAGAAGTTTTTGTTTCTAGAACAAACTCATCTTGTCATTATCCCTTGAGATCCACTTGTGAATGAAAGAGGGGTTGTATGAGTGAGGGAGGAGTGAAACATCCCGCCTATTACTTGTACGTTAAGCAGGACAAGGCAGGTGCAAAGGGAACCTAGAGCTCAACTGATACTGTGATAATCCCTCAGCTATGCAGGCATGCACAGACTCTCCCTGTCAAGTTGAAGCATTCCACAAGAAGGCAGTTTGGACAACCTGATTAAGTTTAGTCAGAACTCTGCTCTCAACAGGAGAGAACCAGTGGTAAACGGGTGGCACGTAAACCTTGTTTAGCAAAAAAAAAAAAAAAAAAAAAAAAACACTTTTTGGGGACATGATCTACTTTTATGTTCTTATTTTTCTCCAGAAGGCATTCAGTGAACACTTTTGGCTTCCTATTAGTTTAACCAGATAAAATTCAGAACACAGTGGTAGTCTAAACATAAGCCCCTTTTCCATTGCCTGGTACTGGCTCAGCCCTGTTTGTGTAGTTGGTTGTCAGAGTGATGCTGAAACTGCCCTAGCTCAAAGCGGTTATAAATTTCATCATAAGACTGTTAGTAAGTTTTTGAATATGTGGTTAATCTTTTCAGGAAATTGCAATTACAAATTTTCTCTGACTTTTTCGGAGATGTGTTGACCCGCTAACGTGCCAGCAACTAGCTCTCCTTAGCAGGCATAGCTGTAGCCATTGTGCTTGTTTCTTGTTAAGTAACCTACGGGCTACATGACTTGGATTTTCCTCCTGGGTGTGTTGGCGTCTAAAGCTCATGAGTTTGTTTTGGTAACATTAGCCACCTAGTATGGTCATGATTTTGCCTTTGCATTGAATTAATATGATTTTAATTTGGGAGTAATTGGGGCTTTGTGTCACGTTAGCAGAGACCAGAGCCTTCTACTGGGCTGACACGTTTACCGTCAGTCCACTAACATTGGCTTCAGACTGGAGGCTGCATTTTGTACAGTTTGTCACAACCAGGCATCTGTAGTTTACATTGTTCTTCTGAAAAAGGGCATGATGGGAGGGGCGACGAGCAGCTTGTGGTGTCTGTTTTGAGTGTCACTGGACCCTCTAGGCTGAAAACAAATAAGGTAGAGCAGCTTTAAGGAGCTGCTTAATTGTCTGTAGAAAGTCACTTTTGGAATCCCCTCTGTTTTCTATTAAATCCAAGGCCACAGCTTCTGTTACTCCATGACAGAGGAAACTACCAACAGTTAATGAACCTACAGGTGGTGTTTCATATGTGAAAGGTAGATCTTAGGTGGAGTATCACTTTAATGGTGGATAAGTTCTACTTTCAAATGAAAATCTTTCCTTGTGCACCTTTTTGCCCAAAGGCTACTGGAAGCACCCCCAATTAGTCCATACTTCCAGTATCCTCCACACCACATAAAGAGCTGATGACTAGTCTTCTGCCAGGGATGCCACCGTGCTCGGCTGAGAGAAGCCTGGAGCCTCGGCCCACTAATCACCAGGCTGCTCATATTACAGTCTCCCTTGCTGCCTGGTATTGTCAGGTTACAATACGTGTGTGTTTGGCATCTGAGCAGCTGTGGTGTGATTGGCTCGTACTTTGCCATGTGAGACGGCATTGAGTGACGTCTCCATGTTAA